GGATTGGCATTTCCCGGGCTTCTTTTGCATAAGTGGGGCTGCGCCATTTTTAAATCCCCGCTCGTTCGACCCCTGTGCCGCGCGGCTACACGCGGCACGAACTAGGTAGTTCAAACTAGGCTTCCTAGTTCGAACTACCGTTACTCCTCAGACGGTCTCCAGCAGACCAGGGGCACCGGAGCAGCTTACGAACAGGGCTTTCTCGCCCCGGAGCTCGCAGGTAGCAATCCGCCACCTCGACCTCCGGGGCGAGAAAGCCCCGTTTGTAAGTGCGGATCCGCCATAAGTCGGATCCGCGTAAGTCGGGGACTGCCTGTATTTGAAAATGTAAAAAACCAGCCAAAAATATATAGTAAATTTAAAGTAGTGTTCTGTTGTTTAACACTGTAATTAAAACAGATTAATCATGATTCATTTTTTTAATTACTTGTATGAGTTAACTGCAATTAATCAACAGTCCTAATTTGTATACATACTACCTGGCCTTACACAATGCTGTGTGTGTGTGTGTGTGACTTGAGTGCACCTTAAAATCTGAGAAAAGGAATTTCTAAGTGTTCGTCCTCATTTAGTTTAACTGTAACATTTTTAAAAATTAAAGCCCGTGAAAAAGTTTGTTACTGCTAGATGTTTGTAAAACTCCCTGTTTGTGAGGTAATTTCCTTTTTGTTTCAAACAATTTTTTTTCTTTTTAAAATGCAGGTTATTGGTGGAGTTTCCAGCAACTGGAGGTCTCATTAGTTCTTGGCAATTTCAGCCAGTGAAGCTTACCCACTACATTTCTACTTTTGATTTCTTCCTGGCAGCCTGTGAAATGGCCTTTTGTCTCTTCATGCTTTATTATATAGTAGAAGAGATCTTGGAAATACATATTCATAAACTGCATTATTTCAGGAGTCTCTGGAATTGTCTTGATATTCTCATCATTATGGTGAGTATTGGCTTATGGATTTAAATATTTACAGTATTCTAGTACTGCTTTAATTTAAAAGGTGTTCTGGAAGAGTTGAATGCACTCAGCACTAGTAGCATGAGTACAGGCAACAAGTGTGTGCTGAAGGGGACAACATTCTAATTACATGACTTCAGTAAGACTTCTCATGGCAGAAGATACTATTCAGTGTGAGTCCCTCTCTCCAACCCCTGCTATGCAGAGACGGGGTACAGAGGCAGAGGGACAACCTGACTTCAGCACCTCATGTCCCCCTGCTCTGTTCAGCTAGCAGGATAATCCTGGAAGCAGCTGGGCTGCAGGTCAAAGGAGATGGGGGAGGGGCAGCTGAACACACGCTGCTGGCTGCAAGTATGCACGCTCTGCTAATCAGCTGCACAGGCTGGAGAGAAATGCTTGGCGGGCCAGATTTGGCCCCTGGGGTTGATTTTGCCCACCTCAGCTGCACAGGCTGGAGAGAAATGCTTGGCAGGCCAGATTTGGCCCCTGGGGCTGATTTTGCCCACTCCGACACTTATAGACATACATTTACCAATACTGTAATGATTGAAATAGAGAGAGACATAATCAGAAGCTAGCAGTGTCTTCATTTTTATACTAGACTGTTTCACTGCTCTCTAATCTTTGGCAAGTCACTTTAACTTCTCTGACTTAATATTCTGTCTGTAACACAGAGAATACATCCATACAAGGAATTTTTTTTTCTTTTCTTTTCCTTCCTTCTGCCATTTCACATTTTCCAATCCCAGTAAAGTTCACTTCTGAAACCATTATCCAGCCCATCCATTAAAATAATCAAGATGGGAGTCATTGTTTCAGGCCATCTGTAGCCTCAGACAGACATGAGTTCGATTTAAACTATGCTCGTGTTTAGAAGGTGTTAGGCACATGAGAGCTAGACCTGTTTTATTTTAAATGAAAGCTTTGATTCTGGATGTTATGCAGGCTCCAGTAAATCCCGATTGTGGGATTTTTCTTAAAGATTGGTATGGCAATCTATTTATGTAGTGGCATTTAAAACCTATTGATTCAAGTGTTTTCTTGTTTATATATTTTTCTACCTAGTTATCAGTAGCAGCTATAGGAATTAATATATATAGAAGGTCAACAGTGGACAGGTTACTGAAGAAACAACTGGAAGATCAAAATACTTTCCCCAATTTTGAACCTTTGGCATATTGGCAAATACAATTCAACAACATTTCTGCTGTCACTGTGTTTTTTGTCTGGATTAAGGTAAATAATATGTCTGTTTGGAATGAAGCTTTTTAGCACATATGCTAATGCAGTGTTTCTCAAACTTTTTTTTAAAAGTACTCCATTTAAAAAAAAAATTATAAAGTGCTCCCAGTAACTACAGTTTTCAGACATGCACATTTTTTTTTCTACCATTGCAACACATTTATTTAAACTACTTAATCATAGCCGGGCGGACGATGAAATTTTGGGGTGTAAAAAGTACAAAAATAATAAAGCATTGTAAAAAAAAAAAATTCAGTTTTCTCCAAATTGACGTACTTCCCAGACTTCTCTTGAGAACCCCTGAGGGTACTCGTACCACTGGTTGAGAAACACTGTGCTAATGTAACTGAAAGAGATATCTTTGATCTGTTAATGTACCCTGGAAACAACAGACTGTCTTCCAGGTTTGCTCACATTTCTGCTGAGGCCAGTCATAGAACATTTCAGACCAAAAGCATAACTATGTGCAAATGAAAGCAGGGTTATTATTTTGAAACCTAATTTTAGATTTAAAAAAAAAAAAATCGGTGAAAGCTCCAGCTGTGTCCCATGGGTCCAGTCCAGCACTTCAGGGGGTTATTGTACACCTCAGAGGCTCGCTGTGACCCTCCACGCTGCCTCATGCCAAACCAACCTGATCTCCTTTTTTGAGAAAGTAACAGATTTTTTAGATAAAGGAAATGCAGTGGATCTGATCTACCTCGACTTTAGTAAGGCATTTGATACAGTACCACATGGAGAATTATTGGTTAAATTGGAAAAGATAGGGATTAATATGAAAGTTGAGAGGTGGATAAGCAACTGGTTAAAGGTGAGACTACAGCGGGTCATATTGAAAGGTGAACTGTCAGGTTGGAGGAAGGTTGCTAGTGGAGTTCCTCAGGGATCAGTTTTGGGGCCAATTTTATTTAATCTTTTTATCGCTAACCTTGGTACCAAAAGTGGAAGTGTCCTGATAAAATTTGCGGATGACACAAAGTTGGGAGCTATTGCCAATTCAGAAAAGGATTGGGATATCATACAGGAAGATCTGGATGATCTTGTAAATTGGAGTGATAGCAATAGGATGAAATTTAATAGTGAGAAGTGTAAGGTTATGCATTTAGGGATTAATAACAAGAATTTTAGTTATAAGCTGGGGACACATCTGTTGGAAGTAACGGAGGAGGAGAAGGACCTCGGAGTCCTGGTTGATTATAGAATGACTATGAGCCGCCATTGTGACATGGCCGTGAAAAAGGCTAATACGGTCTTGGGATTTATTAGGCGAGGTATTTCCAGTAGGGATAAGGAGGTGTTAGTGCCATTATACAAGGCATTGGTGAGACCCCATTTGGAATACTGTGTGCAGTTCTGGTCTCCCATGTTTAAGAAGGATGAATTCAAACTGGAACAGGTACAAAGAAGGGCCACTAGGATGATCCGAGGAATGGAAAACCTGTCTTATGAAAGGAGACTCAAGGAGCTTGGCTTGTTTACTTTAACCAAAAGAAGGCTGAGGGGGGACATGATTGCACTTTTTAAATATATTAGAGGGATAAATACTAGGGAGGGAGAGGAATTATTTAAGTTTAATACCAATGTGGACACAAGAACAAATGAATATAAGCTGGCTAGTAGGAAGTTTAGACTTGAGATTAGACGAAGGTTTCTAACCATTAGAGGAGTGAGGTTCTGGAACGGCCTTCCAAGGGAAGTAGTGGGGGCAAAAGATCTATCTGGTTTCAAGATTAAACTAGATGGGTTTATGAAGGGGATGGTTTGATGAGATAACATGATCTTGGTAATTAATTAACCATTCGTTATCAGTGGTAAATAGGTCAATGGAGGGATGATAGGAGTTACTATAGGGAACTTTCTGGGTGCCTGGCTGGTGAGTCTTGCCCACATGCTCAGGGTTTAGCTGATTGCCATATTTGGGGTCGGGAAGGAATTTTCCTCCAGGGTAGATTGGCAGAGGCCCTGGAGGTTTTTCGCCTTCTTCTGTAGCATGGGGTACAGATCACAGCTGGAGGATTCTGTGCATCTTGGGGTCTTCGAAGTATTTGAAGGCTTCAGTATCTGAGATATAGGTGAGAGGATTATTCTAGGAGGGGTGGGTGAGATTCTGTGGCCTGCACTGAGCAGGGGTCAAACTAGATGATCATAATGGTCCCTTCTGACCTTAAAATCTGAGTCTGAGACTCTTACCTTTTCTAGAGGCTAGGGTCACAGCTTACTGAGCCATCCTCATCACTGGCAATGTCAAAGGACTAGAGTGAAACTCCTCTGTAATTCTGGCCTCCCTTTCCAGGAGCAGATTTTAATGGCGTGAGGAGGGTTGAAGGTAGCCTGGATTCCAGTCCAGGGACATTATGCAGCGGCAACTGTCAGGGTTTTTTCCTTAGCACCGATACAACAACCTTTTCCCAGGGCCACTTCCCCAAATGCTCCCCTAGTACCTTCTCTCTGGTATCTGAGCAAATCTTTCCTGCTTCAGACCAAATACTCTTTCCTTTTTGCAGTCCCTAGCTCTGTAGCAACACACTTCCACACAGTGAGGGGAGACCAAAGTTGGCAAAATGGTTGAAAAAAAAAAAAAAAAAAAGCTGTACCTTTAAATGGCCCTGCGCTCCTTACTCCCCCGCCCCTGCCAGATATGGCAGGGGAAAATTGTCTCTACCGGGCTTCCATCCGAGGGAAACAGGAAATACTGGACATTTCACACATCCAGTATTTTCTGGTTTTTCTACTGGACAGGGGACCCAAATAACGGACAGTCCGAGCGAAAACCAGACACCTGGCAACTCTACTCTTGATATATCTGCCCTCCACCAGACTGTAGCCAGCTACCCTGAGTCTGTCACAATTCACCATCAATTACAGTAAAACTCCATTAATCCGGCATCCAATGCTCTGGGACTCCTGATGGTCTGGCACCATCAGGAACCCGGAAGTGCTGGGGCAGCCGGACAGGCTTCCCCCATTCAGCTGCTGCTGACACTGACCAGCCGCCACAACGGGGGAGCGCGGC